TTTTCATGCAGTTGTTTATGTTCTTTCTCTAGCTTGAAGATGTGAGCCGTTGTTGGGATATGCTGTCAAGATCCACTTGTATATCTTAATATTTTGTTCCTTCTCCTCCCTCCTTCTTCTACTTCTTCTTCTCATCCTCCACCACCGCTCCTCCTGTACCATGTCCTGTTTTCATTCCCATTGTCTTCTTACTGAAGTCATTTCTTGTTCTTGTGTTATTTTTAAATAATGTTGTCACTTTTGTTGTCGTAGTTACTATTCAGTTTGTTCTCATTCTTCTTCTTCTTCTTCTTCTTCTTTTTATTCTTCTTGTTGTTGTTGTTGTTCTTCTTCTTCTTCTCTTTGACGAACACATTATGATTGATATATAAAATACTATTCCCGCAGGAAAGATGAGTCGCTGGAAGGGCCGAATGCGAGATGGACCTGCGTGCCTAACTTGCAATCCTTAATGAAATAATGTTCATTCTTTCTTCTTCTCCCTTTTCTTCTCCTCCTCTTTCTCCTCCTACTGCTGCTCTTCCTACCCCTTCTCCATTTCCGCACACGTTTCCATCTTTATTCCATTTATCTTGTTGTTGTCATTGCTAATGTTGTTGTCATTGTTATTGATGTTGTTGGTATTGTTGTCGTTACTATTGGTGTTGGTACTGTTTTTGTCATTACCATTGTTGCTGTTGCTTTTATTCTCCTTCTCCTCCTCCTACACCTCTGCCAACTTTTCTCCCTCTTCATTTTTTTTCACTTTACTGTTGTTTAATAAAGATGATTACTATGTTGTAACAAACCTCACCGAGGTCTCTACAATAGACTTGCATGAATGTTTGCCTCTGTCGGCCTGTGTGTACACACACACGAAGAGACGCTTCTGGGACCTACAGCACATATAAACGATGGAAGTTGGTACCAACATTGTTAAAACAAAGAAGTGAAAGATATAGTGACGAGACGCGGATAAGGAAAAAAAACATGTCTTCGCCTTCAGCTGTAATGTGTATATAGAGTTAGACCTTTATTGTGTAGACTAACTGGCACTTGATGAGGGATGCGGTCAGTATTGCGCGGGCCGCCTTTACTTCCTATGACTGTATCTGGTACTTTTTTAAGGCTCAGTTGAGCTTGGAGCCAATATCATTTTTGAAGAAATTCTGTCACCGCCAGGACGTAAACCCACGACCTTCGAATCTGCAGGCGAGTATCTAGACCCTACACGACGCGAAGTTGAAAATAAATGGACTAAGGAAATGACATCTAAAAAATAAATTCATACAAATGAATGTAGATGACTGAACTGGCTTCCATACCTGATATGGCGAAGCGTGTACCGGATGTAACGGAATGGAGGAAAGATTTAGCACGAGCTCCATTTGACGCATGCGCAGCGCAGCGCAACAGGATGATGTGATGACAACAGTAACTAAGGAAACTCAGCCCCGGTATGGGACGCAATTTTTCTTTATGTTAAAACCCCACCCTGGCTGTCGTCGGTATTATTACAACCTAACGGTTGAACGGGGTTTATGGGACTTGTGCCCGGAGGATTCTCATCCGAATGGTAACTATTTGTGCCAGTGGATGTTAACCCCTCATTATAAGGTGATGGTGGGGTTAAAAGTCACTCACTCACTCAGAATAACTGTGGACTGAGAGGGGCTGAGATGAGTTTAAAATAAAACGGCGTCGCAACACGGGACATTATCAAAACAGCACCGTCCTCATCTTCAGCAGCCAGCGCAGAGTTCCCTTCCGATTGTACCATAATAATCTGACTGTATGTCCGTCTTGCTTGTCCTGAGTGTCGGTTAGATCCACTGATCAAAGCTGGGGTTTCGAGGTGGCTAGGAGAAACTGAGTCACTAGAGTAGTCATATTATATCTTCCTCTCTCCCTTTATCCAAAGTCACAGTTGACAGGTGTGGTAGGAGTCGCTATGTCCCGTAACTTCTTCTCCCATTCTAGAAGTAACACTGTGTTATCACAGTGTTCATTATTCTTCCACTAATATTCAACCCGGACCATTCTCCAGCTTGTTCAAAATATTTGCTGCCTATAAGTTGAAACGGCTTGGGGATAGCACATACCTCTATGGTACTCCTATTTTTATCTTTATCATTGGAGAGTAAATGTTTTCATATCTAACGGCTGCTGTTTGTTCATAGCACAGTTACTAACAAGCCAGATATCTTTTCCACCAATTTCTATGTCTTGGAGGCATCCAATTATTTGTTCTTGTTGTACTTTGTCTTGGAGGCATCCAATTATTTGTTCTTGTTGTACTTTGTCTTGGAGGCATCCAATTATTTGTTCTTGTTGTACGTTGTCTTGGAGGCATCCAATTATTTGTTCATGTTGTACCCTCTCTTGGAGGCATCCAATTATTTGTTCTTGTTGTACTTTGTCTTGGAGGCATCCAATTATTTGTTCATGTTGTACCCTCTCTTGGAGGCATCCGATTATTTGTTCTTGTTGTACCCTGTGTTGGAGACAAACAATTATTTGTTCTTGTTGTACCCTGTGTTGGAGACAAACAATTATTTATTCTTGTTGTACCCTGTTTTGGAGACAAACATTTATTTGGTCTTGTTGTACCCTGTCTTGGAGACATACAATTATTTGTTCTTGTTGTACCCTGTGTTGGAGACAAACATTTATTTGGTCTTGTTGTACCCTGTCTTGGAGACATACAAAATAATTGTTTGTCTCCAAAACAAGGTACAACAAGAACAAATAATTGTATGTCTCCAACACAGGGTACAGCAAGAACACTTGTTGTACCCTGTCTTGGAGACAAACAATTATTTGTTCTTGTTGTACCCTGTCTTAGAGACATACAATTATTTGTTCTTATTGTACCTTATCGACAATCATCATCGTGTCATTCAAACATGTATGAACATTTGTCTGTTTTATTTTTAAATATTGCACACACAACCAATACATTGTACAAGTGTTTGTCCTATGTATTTCGCTGCATCTCGTCAGGTACATTACTACAGAGTTACGCAAAAGTAACATAACCCTTGACCCTTTAGGGTCGTGGAGGTGGAGGTGTATTGATGAAAGCACTAGCACATAAAACCCGCCATCTGTGTGTCTTCCGCTTGATGAATAAGTGTATGATAACTTAGTCGTGTCCATTTTTTTTTATATTGCCATTGCAGGTTTTTCTTTGCCCTGCTCTTCTTCGACTACCCCCTGCTCCCCAATGTTCCCTGCAGCACAATCTTCGTAATCGAATCATGTCCCATCACGTGCCTAAATCAAGCACGCTTGCAACGTTTCACCCCTGCCAAGAGAGGCTTCTGATGTCCCGCAAATCTGTATATTTTGTCTCTGACATATTTATTTGTTTTATGTTCTAAATAACTAATTCGTAAAATGTGTCTATAGCATTTATATTCGAACGCCTGTATCCTCCTTTCCATTCCCACATAGGGAAACCAACTCTCCATACGTTTAAAAAAAAAAGAAAAAAAGAACATCAGTGATGTGTAAATATTGACCTTGACTGCGGTGCTGATTTTGCTCTTCCACATCGTATTCAGCTGGGACATCGCGGCTGTTGCCATATCAAGTCTTGTCTTGATCTCTTTGGTACAGCTGCCATCGTTACATTTGTTAGAGCCTAGGCATTTAAAGGTTTTAACCTCTTCTAGTCTTTTCCCTTTTATCTGTATGTTGGTAAATACTTGATTAGTGTGGCTATCTACCAGAATCTTGCTTTTCTCGGCATTAATTTCCATGCCATATTTACCACAGATCATCCGCCACATCCTGCACCCATCTTCTCTTTGGCCTTCCTCTTTCTGTCTTCCCAGGCATATACTCCTCCATTATTCTTCTCTCCAAACTTTCGTGGCGTTCAAAGTGACCAACATTTTTTAATTGTCTGCGTTTTATTGTCTTTAATAGCCAACTTTATTCAATTTTCAGTTTTTGAATTATGGATGCATTTTTTTTTTTTAACCCATGATATTCTTAGAACCCGTCTATAACATTTGTATTCAAAGGCATTGTTGAGCTCTCTTTCTTCTTATTTTTTTTTCATGCATGTGATGGCTTCTTGGCAAGTTTTGCAGAAGTTTGCCACTGCTTTCCTTCTGGGCACTGACTGTACTAGTCGGTGGTCCTAGTCATTTTCTCTATTGATGAGATCATCTGCCTATCGCCGCAGAGTGCATGAGCATAACCGACAACAATTTGTCACTGCTCTCCCACTCCATCTAAAACCTGCTTCCATGGCTTCACGTAATCCTGATGGGGAAGGGGGGGGGGGGAGGGGGGCTTAACGGATACTCCACCTTGCCCAAGGGTGTCCTGTAGATGAACGGAGGAAAGGAAGCGTCTTACATCTACTTTGTTAGGGATACCCCTATCCCTTAACCAGACTGGCACACTGGTTTTGAAAAATTTGCCTATTAAATGTTTTTGAACGAGGACTGCACTGCTTGTATCTTTATAATGTGCAACAATGGGGTCTATGATGTTCTTGTCAAAGTTGAAATGTCACATTATTTGCCAGAGCTCAGCAGGCCACACACGGTCAAATGCCTTCATGAAGATAAAGTTATGGAATAGGTCGCGGTGATGTTGTAAGTGTTTTTCTGTCATAGTTCTGATGCTGAAGATTCGCTCTGTAGTGCTTCTATTTTTCAGGAAATCCGCCTGTTCTTCAGCTTATAATTCTTCAGATTTACACAAACATGTAATTAAGCGAAAAAAATCCGTATAACAGAGAAAATTACGTCAATCTTTTGTCTGTGTAAACGTCTTTGTCAATATCAAAGTGCACATAATACTCAACAAAAAACTTCTTTATTATAACTGATAATTTTTCTATTACTATTGCTATTAAACAAAGTAAATCGTTGCTGCCGTTATCTATGAAACAAGTTTGCGCCATGATTACAAATGATGGTTCAGTTTTCAAGAACAACAACTGAGGTGCTCTTGAGTCGGTTGAGTAATGACGGATCATGTCCCTTGAAATGCAGTAAATCTCATCTGACAAAATCTGCGTACAAAGCACACCAGAAGGAGCCACAGTTGGTGCGAATCTCACAGTTGACCTGAAACAACCGGCAACCGTTGACACTGGTCGGGAAGAAAAAGAAAGAAAGAATTACACGTCTTAATTACAACGTAACCGAACGCACGAACAACCTTTTTTATCACAGTCACAGTTTTGGCAATCAGGCCCGTCTTACATTCGGCCATTCCAAACACCCATCTTTCATACTGAAATTGTTTTCTATCTTTAAAGCATGTTATGTTTATACTAGGGCTGTACCGAATAGTGATTTTCACTATTCGGCCGAATACGAATAACGGGACCAACTATACGAATACGAATAGTATATAGTGTATAAAATATATCTAAAAAAATTATTTAAAAAAAAACACACACACACATTCATAATGTCAAATGTATGCTGAGCCTTTACTTCACATAAAGTAGCACAGAATAGTCATCTTCTTCTTTAGCATTCTGAGCCTTTGAGGTTTACTGCTGCAGATATCACTCGTCTCCATTCATCATGAGTGCTTAGAAGGGCCGAATGTCAGACGGGACTGCGGGCCCAATTTGTAACCCTTTGAAAATAAAGTTTGTTCGTTCGTTCGTTCGTTCGTTCGTTCGTTCGTTCGTTCGTTCTCTAGCTGGCCTTCTCTTAACAATTTGTGACACAAGTTATTTGCAGGTCTGGCTGAACATTGTCTATCAATATTTTTTTTTTTTTTTTATGTCTGCCTCGTGGTCTACGCCCATTCCTCTCTCAGGTGTATACAGTTTTACTTCTCTGTCATCTAGCATTCAGTCAATATGCCCCAACCATTTTAGTCTGTTAGCTCTCATGATGCCAGTGATCAATGGTGATTTAAACAGATTATGTGTTACGTTGATACTTCTCACTCTCCATTCCCCGCTGTTAGCATCTTTGATGGGTCCAAAGATTTGTCGTAAGACTTTTTTGAAAACCTGTAATAAGGCCTCATCTTTTTTATTTCTGCTTCAAGTTTCAGAGCTATATAAAACGACTGGTCTTATCAATATTTTATATATTTTGATCTTGGTGTTGCGAGACAGACACTTTGACTTTACAGATGTTGAAGGGCATAGTATACTTTATTTCTAGGTTGTATTCTAGATTGTATTTCTTCTCTCAGCATGTTGGAGCAGTTGAAGTTTGCACCCAAGTACTTAAGTGTTTCCGTTTGTTTGATTTTCATATTATGGACTTCGATGTGGCCGGAGATTATATTCTTTCCATGTCTAGTTAGTATTCGTACAGAATAGTAAACATTTAAAAACATTTATGTTTTGTATCCTTTCGTCAATCTGCGGTAAATAATAACTAGGAATGAAAGAATCCTAAGTATTAGAACAAGTAACTTAACTTGGAAATTGTCACTGACAGCTTAGTTAATGCATGAAAGCTGCATTAGCTTTCAATAAAAACAATCGTTCCATGTTGTCAGCATTAAGGCCGTGTATGCAGAAGCGGGTGTAAGGTAACTACTATTCGTATTCGGCCCGACCGCAACTATTTGGCCGAATACCGAATAGTCAATAGGTACACTATTCGGCCCCGAAGCGAATACGAAGCGAATATTTGGTACAGCCCTAGTTTATACAGCAATGAACATTGAACTGTACAAAAACAAAAATATAACTACTGTCTGTATGTTTCTTTATCTTTTAGGGTTGTGTATACAGGGGGTCGTGCGCCTGAGGATTTAGGGCCGTATGGCTAGTGCTGTCGCCACGGACTGCACAGTTTAGGCTGTTTGCCCCGACACCTTACCGGGGATCGAACCTCGGTCTCCCGCATCAGAGCCGCTCCTCTCCAAACTTAACAACTATCAATAATTTTAAATACGAA